GGCTTTGGTTTGGGTTTTTGGGGGGTTTGGGGGGGTTTGGTTTTTCCCGTTTCTTCCCAGACCGGTGCAGCACTTTTCCGCCCTTTCTTCCTGCTCACTTGCACGGAGCAAATGACCAGCGAGAAACTCAATTAGCAACATGTTCCTCACCGCTGGAAACCCGAAAAGCCACCAGGAGAAAGGGCTAAACCAAGTGCTTCTCAATTATTTTCTGTTACGCCCCCCCTAGCAAGAAGAAAACTATTCGCGCCCCCCCCCACCGAGACTATCCATCTCTGCATAACATTTTATCCTTATTCACATTAAAGAAAAGGAAAAAAGATAGACATATGGTCCAACTTACAAAGAATAACTTTATTAAATCGTGTTTTAAGTGAATGAATCTTTATTGTCATTGTCACAAGAAACAACGAAATGTAAAAAAAAGTGCCGTCAATCAGTGCCTATGCCCACAATTTACACACAATATAAGAAATAAATAACATTTTTGGTTGCATTTAGTTTTGTTATTGCTGTCGGGTAAAAAATCTGCAACAGAAAAGATTGCAGCCTGAAATTTAAAATAAATAAATCCTTGTTTAAACTGTAAACATGTTTGACCAACTAATTGCACAATTGCGAAATTAAATCAAATCAATAAATAATATTTAATAATTATAACAACAAATAAACTACAAAAACAACAAAAATAATAACTAATTTTGGGGGTTGTTATGTTGAATAACGGAGGCTATAGACAGAACGCAGATGCTAACCGAGGCTAACCTGTTGTCTTTAAGTCGTAAAATGTTGAACTGAAGTAACGATGAAAGCGCCACTGCCCCCTACTGGAGTGGATGCGCTATTACACTTTATGCTAGTACATCCCGCTGCATCCTGCGGGAAGGCGGGGCTTAACCATCAAGCCCCGCCCACATCAAGTCACATCAAGTCCCGCCCACATCAGGGACACAACCTACATATTTTTTTCATGATAAAAAATTTTTTTTTTTCGATATTAAATTGACAACACACCACCGCAACCGATTTTTTTAATGCTAAATTGTACCTCCACCTCATCACCGGAACTGTTTTACGCAACCGATATATATATATATATATTAACGATAAAAAAACAAAAAAAAATTTCTATTCTAAATTACTAGATTGACAAAACACCACCGCAACCGATTTTTTTAATGCTAAATTGTACCTCCACCTCATCACTGGAACTGTTTTACGCAACCGATATATATATATATATAAACGATAAAAAAAACATTTTTTTCTATGCTAAATTACTAAATTGACAACACACCACCGCAACCGATATATAAATATATATATATATTTTTTTAACAACAAAAGGGTCACACGCGCCCCCCCCAGGCATCGCACTACAGTAATCCCTCGTTTATCGCGGGGGTTACGTTCCGAAAATGACCCGCGATAAGTGAAATCCGCGAAATAGAAAACTTTTTTTTTTTTTTTACAATTAGCAACTGTTACATGTATACAAATACAGTGACTCACGTGTAGTGTCGGTCCAGGCCGTTTCGTCGACATTATGGGTTTAGGAGATGTTCGAAATTACAAGATAATTTGGCCAACTTAATGTAAATTTGCTAAGCTGTTTTATGTACGTACACATAACTGCACGAGACGACAAAATGATAGCACAATTCGTAGCATGTTTTGATACAGGAAGCGGGAG